TAAGTTTCTCAGCCACAAATCTGGCCCATTATTCAATCCCAAAGTTGGGGCAGTCCAAGCCTTGGTATAATAGCCTTTAACAGCACCTTTGTAATTTTTAGTGTCTTTCCTGTCTGGGTAGGGAAAGCTTTAGTCCACCCTGAGAAGGTCCAAAGTAGCACCAACATACATCAATAGCCTCCTACTTGGGGCAGCTCAGCAAAGTCCAGAAGTAAGTTTTTAGATGGGACAAGCACGGGGAGCGCCGGTCTTTGGGCCGGCTCGCTCCCTGCCTCGTAGGCACCTGGGAGGAGGGCCCCCGGCACATGCGGAGCCATGGGGTGGGGAGCGCTGGTCTTTGGGCCGGCTTGCTCCCTGCCTCATAGGTGCCCGGAAGGAGGGCCCCCAGCACACAGGGAGCCACGCAGCAATGAGCGCTGTTGTGCTCCAGCCCTCAGGCCAGCCCCCGCCACTCAGTTGAGAACTACCATGACACAGAGAAACAATGACATAATTGGCCCACCATGCACCGGCTGCAGATGCCCCACATGGACATGTGTGAATCATTCAATCATGGAGAAACCCCTGGGAATAGATGCCACACAATGGGTCACTCTTTCTCCTGCCATTGAGAACCAGAAAGGTCCAGAGTCAGCAGAGGAACAGCTGTTGAACAAAGACACGGAGAACATGAGAATGCAGACTAAGCCCGAGGAGTCAGAGGTCCTGTGGACTGGGGTCATGAGAGCCACTCGGAAGCTGAAAACCAGGAGGACCTTGCACAATACCTGCAGAGACTCATTGGAAGCCATTCTTCCCCTGACAGTACAGGCTATGGTGGAGCTCTGGAGAGGTCTGCAGCAAGATTCCTGCTGCCTATGCTGACAGTGGGGAGAGGACACTAACTGGTTGTGGGGTCCCAATGTGATGGGAGGCTGGGGAGAACATGCTACAAAGAATGGCTTTCACCCCAGATGGCTCACTTGAGATATTAGTAAGAACTGCCTCCTCAGTGTTCTATAGGGATGAGGAGGAGGAGGCCAAGGAGAGAAAACAAAGAGACCGAGAAAAAGCAGCTGCTTTTGCTGCACCACTAAGAGAAACAGACCCCAAGTCTGATTCCTGGGGCCCCAAGAAGAACTCAACAACTGCATTCATCTGCTACCACTGTAAAAAGCCAGGCCACCTCAAGAGGAACTGCCCTAAGAGGCCCCATGGGCCATGCTCTGAGTGCAAAGGTGACCACTGGAGATCAGTCTGCCCTCTGACGTGGAGGCCCCAGAGCTCAGACCCATGCTACCAGTTAGTCCAACAGGAATGAGAGGGCTTGGGGCATGGTCTGCCTTCTCCCTCTGGCCAGACCATCATCTCCACGGAGGAGCCCTGAGTAATCATGACTATGGAGGAACAAGAAAACAGCCTGTTGCTAGACACAGGTGTAAATCTCTTGGTCTTTCTTTTCAATCCTGGCCTTCCTTCCAGCCATCATACCTCAGTGAAAGGAGTCACTGGTGAGGAGGCAATATGCTATTTTTGACAACCCTTAGGCTTTTACTACTTGTCCGATCCTTCTTGCATATCTCTGTCTTCCTGAGAAACCACCATGTATTACAGCAGCCATTGATATTTTCCTACTAATCTATCCATAACTCTAATGTTTGTATTGTTCCTATCCTATTTCATAAATGGATACATGTCTATTATTATGTGTTTCTTACAACCACCATTGAGAAAAGTTATATTCAATAGGTCACTCATGTATAGCTCTATTTATCTTCTTTAGAAGCCACTTTGAAGATACCAAAGTATAGTACAACAACTATTGATAATCTCCTACGTCTTTTGTCTGTAACTCACTATTATGTGTCGATTTGTTTTCCTGAGAAACTATCTTGTAGATAACAATATGTAAAATGATAACCATTGATAATTTCCTACCACTTTGTCTGTAATTTGGTAAACTCCCCCCCCCCCGTTATTATGTTATCCTTCTTTAACTCTTTAAAATTTAAAAAAAAAAGTTTTAAAAAAAAAGTTTTTAGATGGGATAATACCAGCATCTTAGATATGCAGAGGCCTGGTTGTCCCTCACTTTAGTTTGTTCTGTGCACAGGTTAGGCACTGCTCACAAACAGCTTGGGTGATGGCAGTGAGCTGTGGCACATAAAGATGATAACTTAGTAATGTCTCTCATGTCATTTTTCCCATGTGAGATCCTTGATGGAATTTTCTCTTAAACGTAGGGTCCATCATTTTAGGTATAGCTAGTCTTCTATCAAAGAATCTCTATCATTCTCCCTTGATATAAGCCCTAGGCTCTTGGGAAAGCCATGTCTTTTCAACTGTAGTATAGTTTAGGATTTCTGGGAGTGAGGGTCCTGGGATGAGGGATAGAGCCAGAACTCCCTTTTGGGTTGTGGGGTTGCTACAGCAGCCTGTGTTGTTTCTCTGTTTGGGCTTTGGGTTTTTTAGGGGGTTGGTCTCTACAATATCAGTCCATTGGTGTCCCTTGTAGTGTATAACAGCCTCTTTTCTTGGCACTCATATAGCATCTAGGAGCTGTAAAATTCCTTTTTTGTATTTTATCTTTTTCTCCATGGACCAGGAGACTTCTTTCCCTGTATACAGCTCCATGAACATGTAACATCACAAAGGCATACTTGGAATCAGCATAAATGTTAATCTTTTTGTCCTTAGCTAGTAACAGGGCCCTTTTTAGGGCTATTAATTCATCCCTCTGAGCAGAGGTTCTGGTAAGTAAAGGCTGGACCTCTAACATAGATCCAGTGTCACCATTGTATATCTTGCTCTTTGGACCCCTTCTAATACAAACTGCCCCATCTATGAAATAGTCTACATCTAGGTCTCCCAGAGGATGATATGTGAGATCTCCAAGACTTGAGAATACCTCATCCACAATTTTCACACAGTAATAAAGGGAGGCTCCAAGTTTGACTAGAGCAAAGTGACCGGGCATGGTGGCACATGCCTATAATCCCAGCACTTGGGAGGCTGAGGCAGGAGGATTGTTGTGAGTTTGAGACAAGCCTGGGCTACAAAGTGAGCTCAAGCCAGCCTGAACTGCAGAGTGAGACCCTGTCTCAAAAAGGCAAAAAATAATAAAATAATAAAAGAAACAATGAGTAGAGCAAAGTGGCCAGTTAAGAGTGTTTACTGTCTCTAGAATTATGCAGGGATTTTCACATAAGAGTCTTTGATATTGGCTCATTCTTAGGTCTGACAACCAAGGATGCTCTCTCTGGTCCATCAAAGTTATAACTGAATGGAGCACTCAGGTAGTCAACTGCCTTAGAGTTAACTTGTTGGCCTCCTAGGTCAGCAGGGCAGTGGCAGCAAGTGCCTTGCAACATGGAGGTCATGCCAGGGCTACATAGTCTATTTGTTTTGAGAAGTATGCCACCAGGCAATGCCAGTATCCTATGACTTCAGTCAGGACTCCTATAGCTACCCCCTTTCATTTATGGACATACAAGAAAATGGGTTTGATTATACTTGGCAGTCCTAAAGCTGGAGGTTGGTTCAAGGCCTCCTTGATGTGTTGGAATGATCTGATCAGCTTCTTAAAGGAGGGGCTTTTTTCTCCCTTTGGTAGCTTCATACAAAGGCTTGGCCATAAGTGAGAGGTTTGGAATCCAAATGCAACAGAAACTGGCTGCCCCCAGTGGTGTCCAGTGGTTGGGGTTGGGAGGGCACAGATAGCTTGTTTTTTTGCTCACTGCCCAATTGCCATTTCCCTTGTTTTACTATAAAATGCAAGTATCTGACCTTTTTTTGGCAAATCTGAGCCTTTGTTGTGGATACCTTATATACAGCCTTTGAGAGTAGATGAAGAAAGTCTTGGGTACCCTGGATACAATCCACAAGAGACAGAGCTGCAAAGAAAAGATAATCTACATACTGTAACAGTGCACAGTTATTTTCCAGGGTAAGGAAAACTTTGAGGTTGGAGGCCAATGCTTCCCTGAAAACTGCGGGGGCGTTCTTAAATCCCTGGGTAAGTCTGGTCCAAGTGAGCTGTTCTTTTATACCAATAACTGGGTCTTCCCATTGGAATGCAAAGATGGGTTGACTGATTGGTGTCAAATAGAGACAGAAAAAAGCATCCTTTAAGTTCAGGCAAATGAACCCGGTAGTACTTGCTGGAATGAGTCCCATTAGTATGTATGGGTTTTCAACCACTGGGTGCATGGTTTCAATTGCTTGATTCACTGTGCATAAGTCCTGTACTGGCCTGTATTCATCAGTTCCTGGTTTACATACCAGCAAAAGTGGGGTGTTCCAAGATGACTGGCATCTGACCAGGATTTTATTTTCTAAGAGCTGCTTGAGATGTCTCTGAGTACCTTGTATGGTTTCCTGAGGGAGGGGGTATTGGCTGACTTGAATGGGAGTTGCTCCCAACTTTAGCTTCATTATCACTGGAGCATCATTTATAGCCAGTCCTAGTGGATTATCTTCAACCCATACCCTGGGAATTGCTTGAGCATTTGTTCCCAGAGAGGATAGTTTCTCAGAGTATAGCCTTAGCCTATGGGACAGCAAGGATTAATACCATAGTCTTTTGGTCATCTAAATTTAAAGTAATTTTCCCTTGTGGGCCAAAAGCAATTTGGGCTTTCAATTTATAAAGCAAGTTTATTCCCAGCAAGGAGACTGAGCAGTTTGGAAAATATAGGAATGCATGTCAAATCATTTATCCCCCTATAACACATCTTTTGGGCCAGAAAAATGGCCATTTTTCTGGAACTCCAGTGGCTTCCACAATAGTCTTGTGATTTTTGGGCCATACATCACTACTAAATGTCCGGCTCCACTACCTACCATAAAATCCATTCCGGACCCGCATTACTGAAGACCCTCACAAAAGGCTCAGTCTGCCATTCAGTGCTGTGGGGGTACATAGCTGGCAATGGAACAAGAGAGAACTGCAGTTGTAAAAGGGCTCTGGGACAGGCAGTTTCCGTGAGAGACAAAGGGCCTTTACCCACAGCAGCTCTCACCTTTTAGTGAATGTACGAGGAACAGAGGCATGAGTGGAATACAGGCAGAGGGTCATGGTTGTATGCTCAGGAACAGTCACTCCTGCAGACCAGCTAGCAAGAGAGAAACAAGGCATTCATGCATCAGGCACAAAACTATCAAATTTCAATAACAGCTTTAATGCATGACTTAGTATGCTGCTATAAGCAACTTTTTACTGCTGAGAAAAAGACTTCGTTCTGAGTTTTAATGCTTCAATGCTGTCATGATCCCATATCTCAGCCCTGTTCCCCTCACTGGCTGTTTATCTGCCTTCAGGAGTGCATTAATGGGGGGATGCTAGCCCATGCATTACAACTTTGCCTCCATGGGACATGTCAGCACCTTAGCTGAACTCCAGTGCATTCTCAGGCCAATTAAAAAGAGATTTATCTCTGTACAGGTAGCACTGCCTGTACTTCTATAATTATTATGCATGGGTTTGGTAAGGAAAAAGAAAACACTGTAGCAGGGGGCTGTAGTCAGGGGTCTTCAGTGTGATGGTTCTCCAAAAACTCCATCCAGTGGCCCCCCACAATCATCTTGACCACAGGCTCCTAGAGGCCTAGAAGAACGGACCCTGGTCTGGTCTAGTCCTCATATCCTTCAGCACCAGCCAGCCCAATAAGATCAGTATTGTGTTCCCTTTGGTAACGGCCTTTGTTGAGGCCCCCCTATCCTGTTCTATCCACCCTCTTTCTTACCCTTTTCTGAGCATTTGTCTGTCCATTGTCCAAACTTTCTGCATCAAGTACACTGATTCCAAGCCAACTTTTGATGACCTCCAGGTCCCTGTCTACTTTGGCGTTTTTCTCATTTCCCTCTATGCCCTCACCTCTTTGTGGCCTCTGTGCAGTTACTAGTAGGTCAGCTTTCTTTTCTAGCCTTTAGTCTGCTTCCCATTTGGCCTCTTGTTCTGTTATTATACTCTTTAACAGCTCCTTCTGTGAGCCGAGTAGCATTCATGACAGCAAAGCCCTCTAGCTTCTGCAGCTGCTGCCTGGTGTCTCTCTGTGTCTGTCTCCCGAAAGTTGCATTTACCATATGTTGGTTCTCAGCTGCCTCTGGAGCAAATGGAGTGTAGAGTCAGAAAGCTTCACAGAATGTTTCACAGAACTAGAGTTGGCTCTCATCTGGGCCCTGGAGTATTTCTGAAGTCTGCCATATTTCTAGTTTTCTTTCTTCCCACTCTCAGGCCTGCTAAGAGAGCTTCCTGATACTTTTCCAGATATTCCTTTCCCTCTTTTTTTTTTGGTTTTTTTTTTTTTTGGTTTTTCTCCGGTACCGAGAACCGAACTCACGACCTTGCGCTTGCCAGGCAGGCGCTTTGCCGCTGAGCTAAATCCCCAGCCCCTCCTTTCCCTCTTTAACATTGAGTTCCCAACTAGGCTCAGTCTCAGGGCAATGACCTTGGGCATAAGCTTGGACAGTCACCGTTGGAAGGGGACATGGCCTTCTAGCCAGTGGAGGGCAGTTTGCTTCACCCTCCGGCATTCCTCAGTATTTTTTGTTTGTTTGTTTGTTTTTGGTTTTTTTTTTCCAGTACTGGAAATCAAACTCAAGACCTCACGCTTGTCAGGCAGGCGCTGTGCCGCTGAGCTAAGTCCCCAGCCCCATTCCTCAGTACTGAATAGCATTACGAGGCATTGTTTGCAATCTGCCCAATTGGATTGTGTGTCTGGAAAATGGTCTATGAGGGCTATGAGGGTCTGTGGCTTCTCCAGGTAGGAGAGAGTATGTGTTTCCAATGGAAAAGGTCTGTGGTTGAGAAAGGCTGGTAGACAAAATTTCATCCACCCCTTAGGCCTGTCCTGCTGCATCATAATAGATGGGTGCCCTTGTGCCCTGCAGGGGCATCTGTAATGCCCTTGATAGGTTGTTTGGAGATGGAGCAGTTAGTCATCTGGGCTTTTCTTTTTTTTTTTTTTTTTTCTTTAAGGGTAGGGACTTTGCCTTCCCTGCTTGGGGAGATGAAACTTGGGATTCTTTGTTCTCTGACTTTGCCTTCTCTGGACTGGGTCATGGTAGGGGTGGATAGATTGGAGTGTAAGGGGAGAGGTATTCCTGCCTCTTCTGGAGGTTCCTGTAGGATTGGTTTATCCTTGATATCTAATTGTTTTTCCTCAGCTCCTGTAGTCTTTAGTTAAACTGATCTTCCCCTATCCCTTACTTTGCCGTCAGCCCCAGCCACAAGAGTTTTGCAAGAGGCTGCCAGATAAGGTTGTAAGCACACGGGCTGAGTTTGAACTACATTTAGCCATGAGTCGATGTAGGGAACTGGCTGGGATGTCCTCGCTGCTGTCCTCTGTCCCATTGACCCCCTATGCACTCGTCCAACTGTTCTGTGAATTGTTCCCACAGCAAAAGGCCAAGCTACTTCCCAAAGTGTTTTCAACCTGGAGTGGGGGTTAGCTTTACTCCATATTTTCCAGTAGAGCCTTCCTTAAAGTTCTTTGGAATACATTCTAATGGGGTGGGTATTGACATTTCTCCTTTAATCTCCACCCACGTGCAGCACAAGTCATTCTCACAATTACTATAAACCTTTACAACAAACTTTTTTGTTTCTTCTCAGATTATTACTTTGTAAACTTGACTGACTGCCAACCTCTAAGTAACTTGGGTCAGTGTTCTTATCTTAAACCAGTAGAGCAAAGAGCAAGCTAACCCTGTAATAGCAATTTAAGAATTTGCAATGCACAAGAAATGTTTTAAAACACTCTCATTAGTCAACTCAGATTGGAAACCAGGAGTATATCTACCAATTAGCTAAAATTTGTAACGTGATGTTTCCTGTAAGCCGTCTCCTCAGGCCTGGCAGGACTGGCCATTCAGCCCCCGGCTGGAGCTGCCCCTCGCATTGTCTCCCTTTTCCTGCTCTGACTCTCTAATCTTGGTGGCCACAGCTGTGCCTCAGTCTCTTAGTTTTGTGCTTTTCTGTAAGTCCCGCAATTGGACTAGCTGGCTGCCCTAGCTGGCTGCCCCTGATTCGCACACTCCATTTTGTTCACTCACACACAATTATATGTATTTTTCGTACCCTTTAGACTCATACACTTTATTTCACTCATATGTACACACACATTTACACATTTCCCCTTTCCCAGTTGTCTTTATTCAGGTGTCAGATTCCTGAGCTTCTCGGGCCAGTCCTGCAATTCTGACACTCTGTGCTCACTGCAGTCCACTCTAGCCTTGCGAGTCCTCCTCCTCACCAGGGACTTTCCCTCACATTCCACTCAGGGCTGTAGGTTTCACCTTAGTTCCCAGTGGACTGACCTTGAGCCTCTCTTACAGCAGGCCACTCCTACTCCCTAGCACCACTATGAGCCAGTTCTCATTGCAAGGGACTCCTGCTCTCGGGAATGCTGGTGCAGTCCAGTTTTAGTCTGAGTCAGATTATCAGGTATTCCCCGGGAGTGGTCAGGCTCCCCTTCCTTCTAATGGGATGGGATTTTTCCTCGGACCCCCTTACCTACCATGGTCCTGTAGCTTGCTGTTGTTCCAGAATCATCCTGAATCTCCTTAGGTTTTATTTGCACTGACAAGGGAGAGGTCTGTGGGCTTGCAGGACGGCTGATTTCCTCTCCAGCTGAAGTTTCATGGGGTGGCACCAGAGGTCTCAGGAGTCCTGAAGCTCAAGCCCTTGTAGGCCTGCAGGCAAAGGAGACAGACATCATCTTCTTCCCTCTGTGGTCACCAAAATTGTGGGATTTTAGATAGGAGAGACCAATAGGGAAAAACAGGAGGACTTTATTTATAGGTGTACACTGGCTCAGCTGATAAATCCAAAATGGCTGAACAAAGGACAAAGGACAGGCTCCAGCTTTTATACATTTTATATATTTGGGGATTGGTCTTTGGCATGGAACTTGTGGCAGGCAGAAGGAGAACAAAAGCAGTGTGTCAAAATGGACAGTTTTGTGTCCTGGTGCCTCTGCTCAGACATAACAGGATGTTACAGGAACAGGAGGTTATAAAATTTTACTTATAGAAACAAAAGTTACTGCTTTACTACGGAAGGCATTTGTGGGGTGGCCTGCAGGGCCCCATGAGGTGCTACCCTCCTCCTTGCTTGACTGTGTTAATAGTGCCCTCTGGGTACACTTCCTTGGCTGTCACTCCCAACTCAGATCACTCCAAAAGGTAGCCTTCCCCCAAGATACTAGCTGAGGTGGCCCTCATCTTCAGTCACACCTTATCACATCACATAACCCTTGGCTTATTTACTTTCTGTTTGGGGGAGTTTGTTTTTTTTTTGTTTTGTTTTGTTTTTGGAGAAATGGTCTCATTATGTAATTCAGGCTTGCCTTGAGCTCATTGTGTAGCCCAGGCTGGCATAGAACTTGTAATGACCTTCCTGCCTCAGCCCCCCGAGTGCTGGGATTACAGGTGTGTGCCACCAGGCTCAGCTTTACCATAATATAAAAAATTGAGGAAAAAAACTAAAAATACCTTAAGTGAAACCTCATGTGTAATGGATTAGCTTTAGAGATAATGATTTTATTACCAATAAAGGTCCCTTTTCATGGATCCATGGTATCTTCATAATGTCCTCTCACTCTAGCGGCCTGTCATAGCCTTCTTCTATGACATCATCCTCTTCACTCTGTTTGTGTATCTTGCTGCTTCCTCAGGCCTATCTCCTCCTCCCCAGCCACCCGCCATGTGCCTTTTGGCAAACTTCTCTTTATGCATAGTCACTTGGCAACAACCTGTCTTCAGTGTGACCCACAAGCAGATCACTCTTCAAATTCTCTCTCCTGCCCTAATATCTTCCAAGTTTTTCACTGTGCCTTTCATCTGCCAGCTGGATATCTGTAATATCTGTTAGTATCCATTCTTGTGGAGCATATCACTCCACCAGCCAAAGGTTATACGTACATGCATGTATAACCTTTAATAATGAGACTATAAGACTATATTTATAGTGTTATGATTTTTTATTTAGTAGTCCAGAGTTAGCAATTCCTCTTGCTAATTCAGGCCATAATTCAGTTAAGTAATTTCATTGGTAAGACATTCAGATTGCTTCCAGTTCCACCCATATATAATAATATATATAATCTATGATAGGCATCCTTATACGTAATATTTTTAGGCATCCCTTATTATTTTCCAGGGATAAGTTCCTAAAAAGTGAAATAGCTGAAAGGGAATAGACATTTTTTTTTTTTTTTTTTTTTTTTTTTTTTTTTTTGGTACCGGGAAGAACTTTTGGTTTTTCTCTGGTACTGGGAACCGAACTCACGACCTTGCACTTGCCAGGCAGGTGCTTTTGCCGCTGAGCTAAGTCCCCAGCCCCGGGAATAGACATTTTATAAATCTTCTAGTATGTACTGCCAGCTTTCCACATTACCTATTACTAATCTCACACTGTTTTGTAAATTAGCTGAGGCTATAGAAGTATCTGTGAATTGAGACAAATGATCTGTCTATATTGCTTATGAAAACAACACATTATCCAGTCATAACGGGCCCATGAAAACTGCCTATACAAACAATCAAGCACCCATTAATTCACATATATCCCTCTTTTTTTTTTTATTGAACTCATGAGCTCACACTTGCCAGGCAGGCACTGTGCCACTGAGCTATATCCCCAGCCCCCCATTAATTCACAAAAGGCACTTGGGTTCCAGGTAGAACACAGTCCATCCGATCTGGTTTGAAATTCTAGTTCCACCAATTACTAGCTATGTGACCTTCAGTGGCTCACAATTTTCTCAACCACCAACCAGGGGCTGCAGTTTCATCTTTGGAAGGGTCAGCTAGAGGAACATTACAGGAAGTTTTTGGTATGGGGGACTGCTATTCTCTGAGTTGCTTCAGGACACTGAAGAAAACACATGCTGGGAGTCACATCCACGCAGATTCACTCTGGTCTCCCCTAACTCTGTGTGTCTCAGGCACGGTATCTCTGAGTGTCATTTTCTCACTCACTGGGACACTTCATTTATCTGTGGAGAGGAGCAAATGAGATCACAAATACTGTAAATAAAGCTCCTAGCACAGAGTGCTTATCATTCTGATTTTTTTTTAAGTGTTTCACATCCCCTGTGAGCCAGAGAACTGAGGCACACTTTCTGTCTCAGGGAGTTTCCAACTGGTCCAGAAGGAGACCTGCATAGGTGGGCACACCTGCCGCTGTGCTGCCATGGCAGCCGTGAGAGCTAAGCAGCCTTGCTGCAGTCGCCAGGTCCCAGGGCCAGGGAAGGACTCTGACAGGGAGGCAAATTCCATGGGGTTCAGAGGCTGATGTGCAGCCCGTGGCATCTTCCGCAGGGCCAGAACCCTCCGGCAGATGGAGGAAGAAAGGACACAACTCTTTCCCACAAGAATCAGTCTTGTTATCAGTCACAGCAGGGACTGAGCAGTCACAGACAGCTCAGTAAGTGACACCATGTGGCTCACACCAGGGCACAGGGTGAAGGGTCGGAGAGTTCTCGTTTAGTTCTGAGACACTTGCATCCCTCCACCAAGACTCCCAGCTTTTAGAAGAGTTACCTCTGATACTTACATACTTGTCTGCTAAAACAAACAGCAAAGATTTTAAAGGAGAGATTAGATTTTCACATACAGGTACTAATGATCGGGACTTTGCCTTGTTTAAATACCCCACAGCCACACTGTCGCCGGTTGCTGTTTCTGACTTACAGCGCTAACCTCCAGACCTCCCTCAGGGGAAGGCCCTGGAGGAGACCGAGGATCTTTCAGTTCCTGCTATAGAGGCAGCAGGGTCAAACCCAATGAGAGGGGGAGGTGCTAAGGCTGCCATTTAAAATGGTTCCAAAAGGTAAACTTTGAGAGAAAAATATAAACAAATGTGGCCCGTCACGCCAATCCAAAGACCTAAGTTGAGCTCAGGCTAATAAACTGCTAAGGCAGTAAACGAAGTCCAAGCAAATCACTTAAGGAAAAGACCTCGACTCAATGATTCAGGCAGCAGAGGCCATGAAAATTGCCCCGAGGAAATCAGGGGACCCGGGCTCCACGCCAGCTGTGTCTCTAGCTAGCTTTAAGCATCACGCAGGGAAAGCTCCGGTAAGGCTGGCCGTGCGGGAGGCGGTCCCGCCTGGGCCCAGCTCGGCCGGGATCGGCTGGGTTCCGCCTCGCCGCCTGCCCCGGCTCTAGAGCGGATTCCGGTTCCGGGTCGGGCGCTTCCTCTGCCCCTTGCTCTCCTCGGGTTCGCAGCCGCGTGTGCGCCAAGTCTGCCGGCTTTTTAGGCACGGCTCACTGCCCGGTGACCCCAGGTCCAGGTCGGGAGCTTGCCCGGAGTGCGCATCCCCAGCCCTGCGACCTCGTCGTCCAGACCTGGACAGCCGGTCGGGAGGGGATGAGAGCAGCCCGGGGTTGGTAAAGCACACTCCTGGGTATGGGAGGGGGGTGGGGGCGTCCAGCCTCTGGGTGTGGATCTGTCCCCTGGCTCCCTTCCCTCGGGCCCTGTTCCCCTGCCCTGCTTGCTGGCCACCACGGAACAAGGGTCCTTACTTCTGCAGTGATGTTTCTGCTTTGGAGCTGGCCTCCCAGGGACTGAACCCCCTGAAACTCAGTGACAGAAAAAGCTGACTAATTACTGAGCTGCATCCCGGCCTTTGTTTGTCTGTTTGTTTTGAGACAGTCTTGGTGAAATGCCCAGGCTGAGCTTGAATTTGCAGTCCTCCTTCCTGCTCCTCCCAGAGTGCTAGGGTAGATATCCACCACAGCTCCTGGCTCTCATTTCATGTTTAATAACGTTTTCTTCCACCATAGCCCTGAGTTCTACGCTGCACACCATTCCCCTGTCGTGTCATCTTCTTCCTTCTCCTTCAAGCCACTTTATCTTTACATGGCTTAGGATGGCTTTAGCCTTGTGTATTAGCGCATGTGTGATCCCCAAGCACCCAGATCAGCCTGTCTCAGTCTCAAAGGGCAAGGATTGATGGGTGCTTTTTTTCAGGGGATAAGTAGTAATTGGGTAGGTAAACTGAGAACCCTCCTTCTGACCTACATCAAAAGGCCTCTCAGTTCTCAGAAGACTCATTAATTTAACAAATTTTTAGAAAACATTTGTTGAGCACTTACTATGTATCTAGCACTGTTCTAGGTATTTCTTCTCCATTTCTGCTGGCGGGACTAGGACTATAGTAAGGAGACTGAGGCACACCCTCCAGATCCTAAATTTTAGAGTTGTGACAAGGAGCTCAGTCATTAAGAAGAAATATATTTCAAACCAGCATTTTAAAATTAAAAACTAATGCAAAAATGTCCATGATGATCAAAACACCCATTTTAAATAAAGACAGCATCCAATAGACCAGGGTTAGAGCAGGGAGAGTGCCTCCTTTTCACATCCCAATTTCCTGGCTCCAAAGCTGCCTGATTCTCTGCTCCTAGGCCTCAACATCTCCCCGAATCATGGAGTTGGTGGAACGGAGCCCAGACTCCGCAAGAAAATGGCCATAAGCCATCTCCCCCACATCCCCTAGCAGTTGAACCAATATGCCATTTTTATCACAGCCTAACATCCCATGTGTACTTTGGTCTGTTTCCAAACTGGCTCCTTTCTATTTCATATTTTCAATATCTATCATGACCACATGCTCATATCTCTAATAGTTTTTTTAAGACATTTTAATTGTTGCAATACATCATCATTGAATAACACAACTCACTGGCATATCATGATTTGTGAGCATAGCATTGTTATAATTTTTTGTCTTTTTTCTATTTAAAGTAACATCATGTGACCTAAGTCTCCTAGTCAGATGTGGAACTGTACAGTTGCTCCACGACTCAGCAATTATTAGAACACTGGGTAGTGGGAACACAAAAACAAGTCATGTTTTTTGCCCATACAGTGTGGAATAAACAAATAAGAAATCTGACATATTACTGTGATGGTAGACAACTAAAAGTTTTCTATTTCCAGCCTGGAGCAAGGAGAAATGTCACGTGTCATAAATAGTCCAAGAAATGAGAACAGAATAGGCCAAAGTACCTGCCTGTGTGACTCATCCTGTATTCTCAGGATTCTCCACATAAAGGCAATAGGATGTATTTAGTTTTTTTTTTTTTTTTTTTTTTTGGTTTTTCTCCGGTACCGGGAACCGAACTCACGACCTTGCGCTTGCCAGGCAGGCGCTTTTGCCGCTGAGCTAAATCCGCAGCCCCGGATGTATTTAGTTTTATAATGTCTTTTGAAGAGCAAAAGGTTTGAATCTTGATGTTCTAGTACAGTTTTTCCTTTATAGTTTGTAGAGGGTTTTGTTTGTTTTGTTTTTTGTTTCTTGTTTCTTGTTTAAGAAAACATTGCCTGACACAAAATCACTAAGATTTTATCCTATGTTTTCTTCTAGCCATTTTATAGTTTGGGTTCTTACATTTAGGTCTATGCTCATTTTGAGGTTGGTGTTTTGGTTTTTGATTTGTATGAGTGTTGAGGTAAAGGTCAAAATTAGTATTTTGTATGTATATATTCTTTTGCCCTGGCACCATTTGTTGGAAAGATTATCTTTTTCCTCAGTTATATTGTCTTAGATATTTTGTAAAATATACCTGGTCAGATAGGCTTGGAATCCTTTGTATTT